GAAGAGAAAACTTGAGGCTGAGAAGAGCAAACCATTTAAGAGTCTCGAGAGATACAAGAGAATGATTGGCAAGTTGAACTATCTCATTATGACTCACCCAAACATCATTTATCTAGTCAGTGTGCTTAACCAGTTTATGGCATCTTCGACTATCAGATAGTGGGAAGCCTTAGAGCATGTTTTACATTACTTGAAGGGATGTGCAGGTCATGGTATACTATACAAAAATCATGGTCATACAAACATTGAGTGTTTTTGTGATGCAGATCATGGTGGATTAAAAGCCACGAGATTCATCTACTGCAGGATACTATGTCTTTGTGGGTGGAAATTTGGTGTCCCAGAGAAGCAAGAAGCAAACTATGGTATCTCGGTCAAGTGCAGAGGCAGAATACCGAGCTATGGCACAATCCGTATGTGAGGTAGTCTAGATATGCCAGTTACTGAAGGAAGTTGGTCTCAAAACCACATTACCTGTAAAACTGTGGTGTGATAATAAGGCTGCTCTGCACATAGCATCCAACTCTGTGTTTCATGAACGTACAAAGCTTGAGATCAACTGTCACTTTGTCTGAGACATGCTCAAAGAAAACTTTATCTCTATCGGACATGTGAGGTATAGTGATCAATTAGGTGACCTATTTACTAAAGCTTAGACTCGGGTTGACTATCTTTGTAACAAGTTGTGCATGATTAACATCTATACTCCAACTTGAGAGGGAGTGTAAAGATATGAAAGGATATGTAAATATTATGCAATTAGTATAGGATTTGATATATTATTATTGCCTCATAATGAGCCATTAATGCTTAGACTCCCTTCTCTTGTATATACATCCATAGTTTGATCATGAATAATATAAGGAATTATTTTACAATTCTCTCTAGAATTAACAATAAATATTTTAATTTTAAATTAAATAATATAACTTCCCAATCTTATTAACCAATTATCTTTTTATTTATTCAATTTCAAAAATTTAAAAATATATTTAATTTCTCTCTCATACCTTCCTTTTTTATTTATTGGTTGCTTCTTCAATAATTTTAAATGTAAGTATATAATAGCATTTTATATGAGCATATTTCTTATAGATGAGAAAGGCCTATTTTGTCATTTATTAGTTAATAGAATAGTTTTGAATTTCAAATTTTTATAATTGAAATATGCAAAATATTTAACTTTTAAAAAGCATATATATACTCCTCCGGTCCTAAATGTAAGACCCTTATATACACACCAATATAGGGGTCTTATATTTAGGAACGAAGGAGTATTGTCATCAGTCAAGTAATACTCCAACTTGACAAATATAATTGTCTAAAATATAACTGGCAACTTTAGAAACAATAAATTTATATAATAATATTTACTTGGAAATTTAAAAAATAGAATAAGTGATGAGTGTCCCAAACGTGGCCTGACATTCTCGATAGTGGAGGAGGTTATGGTCGTCAGTCAGTTTACTGCAAATAGGGAGGGAGTTGAGGATTCTATACCTTATGTGGGCAATCGTGAAAGGTGCGCATTTCATGTTTATGCTTTTCAAATTTTTCGAGCAATGGATTATGATGAGTCATGTTTGCCAATTTTCAAATGTTTCCCATGTTTGTGTTTGGTGGTTTAAAGTTGTGGCAAAAAGATAGTTCCTTTATCGTCTTCCTTTATTAGTTCTTCTTCTCGGTTCCTCTCTTCTTTCCATCTCCTTTGTTACTTACCTTCTTCTTGATGATATACCACCGTGGCTGAATTTCTTCCAACCGATCATTATGGAATCCCTACCATTCTATTCAAGTGAGTTTTGCATTTTGATATTCTAATTTGGGCCATTTTTTTGTGGGGATATTGTTTTTTTATTTCATAATGTTTCATCTTATTTATTCCCCCAATATTTTTAACGCCTCACAAATTTTGATAGGAGAGGGTAGGAAAAATCTGGACATTTATGCAGATGATCACTGTATATGATGGGATTGAGAATTTCTCCTCAGCAAATATTTTGTAGGTACTCTTTTTTTTTTTTTTTGGGTTTTGCTGATGGAATCTTATGGTTTTTGGTGGAGGTGGAGGCGAAGGCGAAGGCTTATCCTTCCTTTTTCATTTTTCAATGTGGAATGGTAATTTAGAGGTAGTGTTCTATTGGTTGTTTTGTTCTTCATAAAGCATGGCTTGTGAAATATTGTAAATGACATTGCACTCATAGTCTCATGCTGATTTCGACTTTTGTTATGACATATCAAGAGACTTACATTGTGTTGATAAAATAAGTTTCCTACTAAGGGTTGTTTCAAATTATGATATATGACCATAGAAAGTCATCTTTTTTTCCTCCTTTTGTTCATCTTGCTACTATTACTCCGTACAGGTCAATTTGGTCAAATAAATACCATCATTGCCGTCGAAGGCGGCACTTAATGGATCATGTCACGTATATTATAAAGGTAACACTTCATCTATTTACACGTTGGAAGATGGCAGTAAAAGCTTTAATTTGTTGCCTTCTTTTCAGTTAAGAAAGTTTAGCCTTTCTTATTTGAGTTAATTAACAATGCTTCTTCTTTTTTCCCCTTGATATTTCATTATCATTGTGATTGAGGATGGCTCAATCACCTAGTGGGGTCGACAAGCCTATTTAGTTAAGCAGCATGGGATGCTATGCATCCTATAGAAGAAAATTCTCTTTGGACTAGTGACTAAGCTTGATGTTATTGTACATTGCAACCACTTTTAATTGATTGCTGTTTCATTTTTTTTTTTGAATTTTCTTAACTTATTTAGCAAAATGTTTTTCTTGGAATATGATGGAGTACGGATTTGATTCCAAAACAGTTTGTTAACTGATCAAGCTCTTCATTACTAAACTATATATCATAGCTTTCCCAAGATGCTTTATGGTTATTAGATATGATAAAACTTATCTTCTTTTTTTTAACTCAAGGTTTTATCTAGGTGGATCTGAGGATTAAGGGGCAAAAGTGACACTGCAATTGGAAACCGAAGTTTCTTCAAAATGTCCATAATGAAGGTTGAACCTTGAATCCTCAGTAGAAGCTCGAGCTAAAAGATTTTATTGCTTATATTCGCTTTAAAGGCGGCCTTTTGGAACAAGTAATTGATCAAGTAGCTGTTGATATTTATCATATGTGATATTGACTAAGAAATTAGCCTATGTAATTATTGAATCAAATATGTTGTTTCAACTCAATTTGTCTCCATTAATTTTTTGCATATCACATAGCAATATTGCTTTTGTCCTATGTAACTATCAACTATAAAATTATACTATGTAATTATTGAATCAAATATGTGAGTTTTAACTCACTATTTAATACAGAAGTGAAAGCCCCTGCTTCCTCTAGGAATCCTCTTTAAATATAAAAAATAACTATGTCAAATTTGTTGATGTTTAGTATGCACTAATTTTAATTTACCTAAATTTTCAAAAGAGGCCACTCTACCAAATAATGGATTTTATTTAAACAATGGATATAATGCTGAACAATAAAATGTTAATAATAATAAAGCTATATATATTGCATGCTTTGAAATGTTATGGATATTCAATTTTTAAATTAACATGAAGTTATGATTTAAAACAGAATGTTATCTTCGACTAATTATTTTGTGGTAATTCAACTTTTATATGATATAAAAAATCACGAATTCATACATATGCATTGTACGAGTACTAAAATAGTTATATAAAAGCAAAGACCAAAGCATGCTTATATCATGCCACGTGGCAGACTCTTCTAAAAAATAAATAGAATGAATTTTTAAATGCAAAAAATTGAGATTCCGCGTTCCAAGTTTTTTGAAATTTTTTTATCGCAAGTAATTTTGAATATAGGCAATTTTTTGACCAAAGCATATTGATATCATGCGCAGGCTTTCCTCAAAGATAAATAGAAAAAAATTTTGTTCAAAATTAATTTTGAAATTTGGAAAACGCCATTGATAATTAGGATGATTTTTTAAATGTAAAAAAAAAAAGATTGCGAGAAATTACTAATTACAAGAAAAATGCTTTGTAAAGAATATTATATTAAATGATTATAATTTGTATTAAATAAATAGTACTCCTCCGGTCCTTATTATAAGACCCAATTTGACTTTTTATTTGGTTCTAATTATAAGACCCAATCCATTTTGTCACTTATATTTATGCATTTTTTTCCAAGATAATCCTTCTAATAATGATAGTTTTAGCCAATATACTTAATTAGCAAGGATATTTTAGGAATGACAACACTTATTTATTATAAATAACCAACTTAACTTACTTCCTTAATTTCCTCAAATAAGTCAATTGGGTCTTATAATTAGGACCGGAGGAGTAATATACCAGTTTTATAACTGCCCAGCGAATTTGGAAATATCTACACTAATTTATTTTAAATTAATGTTTTCCGTAACTGTCCATTCAATTTGTGCGTAAATTCAGCCATTTCTTAATTGTTTTTGAAATTATGTGAACCCGCATTCACAATTTAATAAATAATACTCCTCCAATCCTTAATATAAGACCCATTTAACTAATTTGATTAGATTAAGGAAGTTAGGTAAATTAGTTAATTATAAGAAATATGACACGTTTTTCTTAAAATACCATAATCATATTTCTTAATACCACATCTTCCTCTTCTACTTGATTATGGTTGAAGAAGTATCCATAGGGGTAATTTAGAGAAATTGATAAATATGAGAAATGGGTCTTATATTTAGGATCAAAACCAACTCATCAATTGGGTCCTATATTAAGGACCCGAGGAGTATATCCCTAATTCTATGACTATAACTGCCAACTGAATTTGAAAATATCTTTACTAATTAATTTTGTGAATATATTAGAAATTAAATTTTTGTGTTATGCGATGAGTTTTTCTTGTGCTGGAAATTTAAAATTCGAAAATTGGCCAGAAGAAAGGATTTTAATTTATTAACATATTTTAATTAAAATTATATAAACCATTAGCGGAATGTTGGTCGCTCCTCTTCATTGCTTTCTGAGATCGAGGGTATGCCTGAACCAAGAAGCTTCATTCGATTCCTCAAAACTTCTCCTGTGCTCACTGCTTAACATCGCGAGCAGAACTTCTTCGTCTTCTAGCGGCGTCCTTCATCCCCGGTCAGTTCTTCTCGATTCCTTTCTTCTTTCTTCATCTATTGGAATGTTTTCTCTCAGATTAAAGCCCCCATCATCTCCTTCTTTGATTTCCAGCGTAATTTGTTGTGTATGTTGACTTCTGAGTCCTGACTATGCTCTTTGCCCCCAAATGATGCAGTTAAATGTGAAGCTCGGCTTGAAGATGGAGCACTTGTATCAAAATCTGATGGAGTGGAGTTTAGGGTGAAAGAGGGTTAGCATTTACGTATTTGTTTATGTTTTCTCTAAACTTGCTTGTGCTGATAATCTGATATTAGTGTTTGTTGTGAAATGGGTTACTTTTTTCGGCGTTTGCAAAGGCTATGAAAACCATGAAGAAGGGAGAGAAACAACACTCGTCGTCTTCGGGTGCTTCTCTAGCCCACAGGTTTTACGTTGTTCTGTCCTCCCCCCCCCCCCCCCAACAAAAAAAAAAAAAGATTTTGTTTCGTTTCTTTTGCTCCCTCTTCTCCTCTCATCGTTGTTGTTGTTTTTCTTGTTGCAAGTGTTGTTCTGATTTGGGTGAGTAACGCCA